CCACATTTGTATCATCTTTTTAATAGAGATAGAACCTACCAATACATATGGGTCATATCTTATAGAAAGATGGTACAAATGTGGTACGAATAACAATTTTGTTGAATTTATGTTGTAGCTCACTTTTATAGCCAAAGCTTTTAATCTCCGTGAAGAACTTACTTACAAATGGGACATCACTGTGGCAGCATCACAACTCAATTAAGTATTGTCGTGCAATTACTTGATTACATATTGTTGACCCTAAAAGCTACTTAGCCTACATGACGCGCAGGCCGAGCTTGGTCGACGAGTAAAATGAACGTGGTTGTGGTGTCGAATGCGCTGCTGACTTTTGTATCTGAGTGATCACGGCTGAGGAAGGGACTCATCTCGGCCTCTAGGTTCTAGAGTCTGAAGACAAGGCTGCTAGTAACTTCAAAGTTCAAATAAGGTTCGACTTTCAATATGCTGAACACTGAATAATTTAGTAAACACCTTACTTTGCCGAGAAGTCTAATGAGGGACCTTTTTCGATAAGAAGACCGAAGACTCCTTACTGACAGAGACTTGGATAGACAACCAACCGAACTCAAAGCAAGGCTATTACTCCAAACTAAAGGTGCTCTTTCATCGCCTGATTCTACAACACTAGGTTAATTCAAACTAAAGATGTTGCCGGTTGTCTATTCCTCAGTTATCTATTCCTGGAAGGAAAAATTGGAGGAGAGAGGGAGGGGTAGGATGAGCAAAGCAATAGGTAAGGCTGCCTGGAATTTGGGTTTTGTTCTGGTGGTGATCGTGTGAATTAAATACTCAGTTATCTATTCCTCTAAAATACATGATGCGTCTGATTTTTTTCCGTTCACAGATGATGGTGCTATCACTCTGTTGGTTGTTTTATGATTGTGCTTTTTTGTTTTAAAATGTGTATGTTGTGTGTGATGTACAAATTAGAGCAGAGGTTTGTACATGCGGTTTTAAATTGAGGGCGAGCCATAATTTTGTTATCAGAAAAAATTTGATTGAGGTTTCATCTGGTTGTGTTACGGTTGCGTAATCTGTGGTTCGCAGCGACTGTGATCATTTCCTGACAAATGTATGGAGCTGTGTTTTTTTTGGTGGGGAATTATGGTTGGTGATGTTAACAATGGATTGAGTCTTTCTGTTTGGTATGATTCTATCGTTGAACAAGCATGGTTTTAAAGTGGATGCAGATGACAATTTTGTTTGCACGAGAAAATGGTTGAGTTAGTGGTTTTTAATCGTTTAATTGTTGTGCCTTTGCTATGATCCATGTTCCAACAGTGTTTGATTGGCGCAAATAGATTTTCATTGTTGTTTCTAAGCTGTTATTTTCGTTGCTGTTCTGTGAGTTAGTGTTAATGGCTTTGCTGTGTTTGCGATTTTCAGGTACTTGGATCGTTGGACAGAGCACTTGGCCCTTTGGCTTTTGAGGTATATTTATTTGCGGTTGTTATGGTGGAATGTGCAATCGTTATGTCTTAAGTTGAGCCTGGTTCTTTAATAAAAACAACCAAATGTATTGACTTTAGCATGTGTTTCTTGTGAGAACAACAAGTTGTGATGTGTTTGTCGTTGTAAACATTATCAGCAACTTTGGTTTTTCATGTGTTTGCATGATAAAAACGGCTAATATATTGAGTTTGAAAATAAGGGTTTGGGGTTCACTGTCTTTCCATGTGTATAATTTTACCCCATTTTTCGTTTCTTTATAATTTCAATTATCTTTCAGCAACCTAATCTCTAAGCTTATTAAATTCATTGACCATGTGATTTTGGATTCAATCCAGAAGTTCCTATTTCTTAGATTGGTGTTGTCTGTTCCTTTTTGGTAGTGAGATTGGTAAATCATTGAATTTTACTAAAGGTATTTGACCTGCGTGTTCTGAACCTTTGAGGTCATTTCGTCTCTAAAATGTCCTCTTGGAGCTCTTATTGTGATCGTTCTTCTATTTCTTTTATTCAAAATGTTTTACATTTCTCATTTAATTTGTGTGCCTTTGCATATTTAACGGGCAATTTAATGGTATTTGGTCCTCGGATTTGTCTGTATTGCTAAAGGATTTAGTTTCATTGGAATTTTCAGAAACTTGGGTGATTAGGTGATTTTGGTTTTGGTTCTCTGATCAGATCTCTAAACATTCGCAGCCCTTTTGGTACCACGAGTTACACAGCTATACACAAGGTTACATGGTGGAACTCAGGTGTTGTAGCTTACAGCCACCAGGGTGATAGGTATATTTCGTTGCTTTAACCATTTTTGAACTTATAGATTTATTATGTTACATTGGTGCATTTGATGAGTGCACCAATTAAGATTTGGAACATTATATATGATGTTCATCTACATAATATATTTGGATATTTGGATATTTTATAATAAAATATAAGTTATTTGTCATAATAAATATAAATTCAACTAATTATACTAATTATGCTGATGTCATATATTTTATTATGTTTCATCGAACATTAAAGATATTCAGGTACACCAAGAAATGCCACTATATTTGATGTCAAGAGAGAGTGGGAGAGGGAGGAGTAAGGATCGCTCGCTGAGGGTTTCGCAGTTGGGAGGCCATGCTGAAGGAGATATAGATAGAGATAGGAGAGGGAGAGGGAGAGAGGGAGAGGGAGACAGAGCGACAGAGAGAGAATGAAAGGGAAGAGTGGGGATCTCAGCACCATTGATGCAGATCCTTGATCTTCTTCGATCCCATCTCCGTGTTCTTCACAGTCTCAGCATCACTCGCCCACTCACTCACTCACTCACTCACTCACTACAGGTACAGCTCTAAAACTCTCGCTCACTCTCTCTCCACTGAAATTTGAAGGTGATTTTCCAACCCTAAATTGATTTATTTCATACCTTGATTTTATCTTAATTGATCTGCATATGTGTAGTATAGATAGTTTTATCTAATGTTGTAGAATCCATGTCCTATTCAGGAATTCTGAGATGGTAAAAGTTACAGGAAAAATTGGAAGGTATATAGAAATTCCAATATGAGTTCTCCTGTCGATTTGAGGTGGATAATACAAACGTTTATGTTTAAGATGATTTGTTTTTGTTTTTTGGGATGCTTATTTTCATCTGGAAACAAGGCTGAGCATCCAAAAGTTTCAATCTTATACCCATTATTCAATATTGGCTCAATAATCATCAATTTTCCTCTGACTTTGTTTATGAATTCTGATATATAATCAAGGACACACAGGCGCACCAATGCCTCCATTTTCCGGCGAAACATCACCACAGAACCACCACCACTCACTCCGTTCTGCTTAGGATACACATGAGAAGGCCTTTTACTGTGCAGTGGCTACTGCCACTGTTCATCAACTTCTCTTACGAGACTCACTGCTCCCAACCTGGGTAAACCACCCTTACACTCCTCCTTTATGTTTTCAATTTGGGACTCAGAATTCAAACTTGTATGTATTTTAGTTTTTCATACTTCTTTCATCCAATCATCATCACCCTTTCTGTTGGCTTTGCCGGCTAAAAGCGGATTCTGCCTTTGACGTCATCTGTTGAAAAATCTGAAATTTGGCAGGTTTGGTTTTACAGTGAGTTGTAGTGTTGTCGAGGCTTTGCCAGCTAAACGCGGATTCTGCCTTTGACGTCATCTGTTGAAAAATCTGAAATTTGGTAGGAGCTGGAATCATTGGAATTCGTTTTTTGTTGAGTTTGATTTTGTGTGAATTCATTTCGATGGATATCTCAAAATCACATTTTTATATTAAAAAATCAATCTTGATACTATTTATTTTACTCTTTATTTTGTCCTTATCGTTAAAACTCAAAGTTTTCAAGCTCTTTATTAGTTTTCCTTAAATCAAAAGGGATTGAATAAACACAACGGATATGTATTTAAAGTCAATCATATAACTTTGTGGACTAGATATTAAACAGATCTTTTTGAAGTAATTAACAAATTTGAGATTAAGTAAGATTGCATCAGGAAGATATTATGAGTTTTGCAGCTCATAAGGAAAAGTATGCGAGTAAAAGCTTTAAGTTTTGTATGACACATTATATTTTTGTATGGTAGTTGGTAGATATATTTTTTTCTATCTGAGATTTCTTATTGTTGTATTTATGTTAAGATTTCTTTTGCTAATTGATATTTTTCTATTTGTACATTCTCTTTTTGGGTGAACACTATTTGTACATTCTTTATATGCAATTTAATCTGTATATTCATGTTTTCATAAATTGATGAAATTTAGATTTTGGTTGAGCAACTTTCTAACAAAATGGAAATAGTCCAAATCGGCGTTTTGCAAGCTAAAGCAGGTAAATTTAAAAAACTCATGCTTGTACAAGCTGTTATATTTTGAACAACTCTATAGGTGTATATAGAGTTGTCAACAACTAATATATATTTTATGTGAATACTTTTCATATTTTATGTAAATAGTTTTTTTTTTTACATAACTACGATTGTGCTAACAACTCATTTAATCTCTTATTCTAACACTATTATACAACTTATAATTCATTTGATATTCCCGCGGCAACGCGCAAGTACTAAAGCTCTAGTGCTCTCTAAAATTTAGCTAAGAGTTCATTAAAGACATTCATTATTATTGGAGATATTGTAATTTATTGTTCATGTGAGTCGATCCTAATTGATGTCTTGTTGATTAATAATAATATTAAACAGGAAAAAATAGACATATTCCTTTTTAATTATAAGGGCCGAAACCACTTGATATTCCCGCGGCAATGCACAGGTACTAAAGGTCTAGTGCTCTCTAAAATTTAGCTAAGAGTTCATTAAAGACATTCATTATTATTGGAGATATTGTAATTTATTGTTCACGTGATTCGATCCTAATTGATATCTTGTTGATTAAGAATAATATTAAACGGGAAAAAATAGACATATTCCTTTTTAATTATTCTTTCTGGAAAAAAAGAGATAATTCTAATCAGATAAACGTGGGTTGGTGACTGGTCCAGGTCGAGACACGAAGGACAAAATCTCTATACGTAACCAAGCTTACTTTGATCATCAGCCGTCGTAGCATCGTCGGCAAGAACTAGAGAGAGGAACATTACACACACACACACACACACACACCCACACACACACACACACACACACACAAATATTCTACACAATTAGTATATATACCATTACCAGAGCCTGTCTAAAACACCCATTACGGAAAAGCCATGGAAGAAAAGGCATCTGCCGGGAAGAGCATGTACGGTAGTTCTCTTCTTGTGCCTAGTGTTCAAGAATTAGTAAAAAAGCCAGTAACCACAATCCCACCAAGATACATACAGCATCATCATCAAGATGGTAACCAAGAGCATGAGATGACCATCAATTCTGATTATCATGCTCATCAAATACCATCCATTGACGTGCAGAAATTGCTTTCCCAAGAATCAACCATTTCTGATTCTGAACTAGCCAGGCTCCATTTTGCTTGCAAAGAATGGGGTTTCTTCCAGGTAATTAGATTACCTAGCTTTTTCCACTTACATCTTTCATCAGATTGTTCTGATTGTTTTTTGGCCACGAGAACTTCTCGATGATCATTTAGTCCAGTATATCATCTAGTCTTCGTTGGTGATGTGAAGATTAGTACATATATATGTAATCATGTAATTAAATATAAGGTTTTTATCAAAAGTCGTCTACGAAGAAATTGACCCCCACCATCAAGATGATCACTAAACTTGAAAATCGATAAATGTAGTCTTTGTAAATAGGTGTTGCAAATCAATGTGGTCCTTTGTCACAATTATGTCAAAAATCATGTTGTATACTGATGTGCCACATATATATGTCCTACAAGATTTATGGGTTTTATCACAAATAATCTTTGAAATTGACTCACACCATCAAAGTATATTTAGTTTTTTGTTCCTTTTCTTGGTGAACTTGGCTCTACTTTCTAGTCCTAACCCAACCTTTTTCACCTTGCCTGCATACAGAATTTTTAGAATTTGCTAATTCGTAGGTTTTTGGCCATATTATTCACTCTATATGTTTTTACAGTTGGTAAACCATGGTGTGAGCTCTTCCTTGGTGGGGAAAATAAGGACAGAAATTCAAGACTTCTTCAACCTACCCACGGAAGAGAAGAAAAAGTTTTGGCAACAGCCAGGAGACGTGGAAGGTTTTGGACAAGCCTTTGTAGTTTCTGAAGACCAAAAACTCGACTGGGCTGACATTTTCTTCTTGAACACCCTTCCTGTCCAATTGAGGAGGCCTCACCTATTCCCAAAGCTCCCTTCTCCTTTCAGGTACTCTTGTTATCTTAAACATATGTGTTTATCTGTGATTTTGTGCCTTATGAATGTGAATGCACGAATATATCGAAGAGTAATGTTATTTGATAAAAAAAGAAAAATAGAAAACTGACCTTATTGCTGTTAGATTACAGAGAAGAGTGATTATTATAGGATTTAGAAGAAATGTAACTTTCAGAAAGAGAATTCACAGAGAAGATGATTCAACTTCATTTCATCATTCAGATCTGATCAGAATGTGTCCAACCATTTTCAACAAATGTAGTGCACTGTTTTATCTCTCTCTCACACAAGAAAGAATACATCACAGCCATTCATTTCATCTATCCTATGAGATAGCTACATTTGTCACTCTATATTACTAACTGTCATTCAATCTAGAGCATTCATTGTTGGAATGTAATCCAATGGCTCTAATTAAAAAACAAGTAAAAGACATTGCTTTATTTCAACTAAAACACTTAAACACTAACACTCCCTTCTAAGTGTTTAGCTGAAATCACTCCCAAAGCCTTCCTCAAATACTCAAATCTATCCCTTGCCAATGCTTTTGTAAAGATATCAGCAACTTGTTCTTCAGTTTTGCAGTAAATCAGATCAACTTCACCATTTTGCAGAGCATCTCGGATGAAATGAAACCTTCTGTTTATGTGTCTTGTTTTATGATGTGCCACGGGATTCTTAGAGATTGCAATGGCTGAAGTGTTATCACAGAGAATCTGAGTTGGTTCCACTTGTTCCTCTCCAAAATCTGATAAGACAAATCTTAACCAGATGGCTTGAGCAGTTGCTTCTGCAGCACTAACATACTCTGCCTCTGCAGTGGACAATGCTACACTGCTTTGTTTGATTGAGGCCCAAGAAAATGCTCCAGAACCAAAACTAAAAGCATATCCGGAGGTGCTCTTCATGTCATCTTCACTTCCTGCCCAATCACTATCACAGTATCCAATAAGCACAGCATCTTTACCCTTCTCATATGCAATTCCATAGTCCAATGTACCTTGGATATACCTTAGCACTCTCTTTGCAGTTCCCATATGTTTCCTGGTTGGATTATGCATGAATCGAGCAAGTAGACTTGCAGCAAACATGATATCAGGTCTTGTAGCTGTTAAGTATAACAGACTACCTACAATATGCCTATAGAGACTTTCATCAGCCAATTCACTTCCATCTTCTTTGATTAATCTTTCATTTGTTGCAAGTGGAGTTGCAACAGATTTGCACTCCTTCAATCCAAATTTCTCCAGCAAGGTTCTTGCATATTTCTTTTGATGCAGAAATATACTACCTTCTGTTTGTATAACACCAAGTCCCAAAAAATGATGTAATTGTCCCAAATCAGACATTTCATATTTTCCCATCATTTCTGCCTTAAACTCATTCATTAATGCACTGGAACTCCCTGTATATATAATATCATCAACATATAAAGAAACAATGAGAATTCCTGCCTCAGTGACTTTGATGTAGAGAGTTGCTTCACTTGGACTTCTATGAAAACCAGTACTGCAGAAGTGAGAGTCAATTTCCTTGTACCAGGCCCGTGGTGCCTGTTTCAATCCATACAAGGCTTTCTTGAGCTTGTAAACTTTATTCTCCTTGCCTTCAATCACAAAACCAAGTGGTTGATCTACATATACTTCCTCATTTAGAACTCCATTCAGAAATGCTGACTTTACATCAAGTTGGAACAGCTTCCATCCTTTCTGTGCAGCAAGTCCAATTAAAGTCCTAATAGTATCAAGTCTTGCCACAGGAGCAAATGTCTCATTAAAATCGACCCCAGGCTTTTGAGAGTATCCCTTAGCCACTAACCTTGCCTTATTCTTCTGTATAGATCCATCTAGGTTCAATTTTGTTTTGTAGATCCATTTGACACCAACAATTGGTTTATCAAGTGGTCTATCAACAAGTTCCCAAGTACAATTTTTCTCTATCATGCCAATTTCTGCTTGCATGGCCTTCTGCCATGACTCATCTTGTGATGCTTCCTCAAAGTTCTCAGGCTCAACTATGCACAGATTGCATTTTGCATACACTTCTGTCAAACTCTTGAACTTCAAAGGTGTGTGATCATAGTCTTGAGGACTTGTGTTACTCTGCATTTGCACCAGTCTTGAATCATTTTCAATTGACTCATTTGCTTCAGATGAAGATGCTAAGAATTCATCATTTTCATCACTCTTATCACTTGAATTTTCTTCCACATTTTGTTCACACAATTTCTTTCCAGGTATGGATACACTGATGATTTTCTCAGATTATGACTCCCAATCCCAGCAAGCATTTTCATTGACTATTACATCTCTTGACACAATTATTTTCTTTGAGATAGGATCATAGAGTCTATACCCTTTCTCACATGTGCCATATCCCAAAAATATGCATTTAGTACTTGTTTCATCCAATTTCTGTCTAACCTGTCTTGGAATGTATGCATAACACACAGAACCAAAAATCTTTAAGTGTTTGATCCCTGGTTTTCTTCCACTATATGCCTCGAAAGGAGTCTTCTTATCAAGAGACTTGGTAGGACATCTGTTCAAAATATACACTGATGTATTAACAGCTTCTGCCCAGAATTCAAATGGGACACCCTTTTCAATCATCATACACTTTGACATCTCAACTATGGTTCTATTCTTCCTCTCAGCTACTCCATTCTGCTGAGGTGTGTATCCCACTGTAAACTGTCTTTCCATGCCCATTTCTTCACAAAATTCCCTGAATTCAACAGATACATATTCTCCTCCTCTGTCACTTCTCAACTTCTTCAATTTATATCCACTTTGCAATTCAACTGTGAGCTTGAATTTCTTGAATACACTAAACACCTCTGACTTGTTCCTTAAGAAGTAAACCCAACACATCCGAGTGCAGTCATCTATGAAGGTGAGAAAAATACTTATTTCCAGCCTTTGTAGAAATCTGCATGGGTCCACAAATGTCAGAGTGAATGAGTTCAAGAGGTTGTGTGGCCCTCCATGATGCTTCCTTTGGAAATGCATCTCTGCAATGCTTCCCAAGAGCACACCCTTCACATATCTCATTTGTCATTTCAAGATCCGGCAAACCCAACACCATATCATGCTCTTTGAGTTGTTTCAAACTGCTCAAATTCAAATGTCCTAACCTCCTATGCCAGATTTTAGAAGACTGAAACACACAAGTCTTTAGAGCAACCTGCATCTCAGGTATAAGTCTCAAAGGAAAACTTCTATTTCCCTTCATTGGTATTCTAGCTATCAGATTAGACATTGAACTATCATCATATATCTCTGCAGTTGTACCTCCAAACACAAGAAAGTAACCGTGTTCCATCATTTGCCCTACACTGAGCAAATTTTCTTTTAACCTTGGAATTAACATCACTTCTTTGATATATCTCCTTCCCATTTTGGTATCAACTACTAAACTTCCTTTCCCTGTGACTTCGATGAGCTGTCCTGTACCCATCTCTACCTTAGCAGTCATATTTCTATCAATGTCAATCAGTAACTCCTCCCTTCCAGTCATATGGTTACTACAACCACTGTCTACATACCATATATCTTCATTTTTCTTCACATTAACATTATTGCAGACATAGAACATGGTAGGAGTATCATTGACTTGATTAACAAAATTCACATGTTGATTAGTCTTCTCCTTCTTGACTCGGCAATCTCTTGCAATATGCCCCAACTTATGACAACTATGACACCTTGGTTTATCTTTGAACCAACATTCACCAAAATGCAATTTATCACAATGAATACAGGGATTCTTAGCTCCTTCAGAAGTACCTGCAACTTTTCCAGTTTGATTTGCAGGTCTATGTTCTCCTTTCTTCCATTTAGACTTCCAATTCTTCTGTGGTTTGAACCCTTGATTCCCATTGTACTTATTCTGTTTTGGAGCAATACTGAGACTAACAAATGCTTTCTCAGTATGAGATTCATCATGCCGATCAATTCTTTGCTCATAACCTTTGAGAATAGCTACCACATCTTGAACATCAACAATATCTAGATCCTTAGTATTTTTCAATCACAGAAGCAATACTATCATAGGACCTAGGTAAACTTATTAGCAACTTTTGAACGATTCTCTGATTACTTATCTCCTCACCATAGCTTCTCATTTGACTAATCAAATCAAATAACCTAACTAGATATGCAGAGAAAGCTTCATTTTCACCCATTCTAGTATATTCAAAATCCCGGCGTAAGCCTTGGAGTTTCACAGCCCGTACCTGTTTATCTCCCACAAATTCTTGTTTCAGCACATTCCAAGCAACATTTGCAGTCTCTTGGATTGCGATTCTCGGAAAGATCTGATCCGAAACCGCGCCTTGAATGATTCCAAGTGCCTTTGCATCTCTGACTATATTCTCCTTCAATAACTTGCTTTCAGCTACAGTAAGTTCTTCATCCTTCTTCGTCGAAGTTTCGACACCATTTTCGACGATATCCCATAGCTCGTGCGATCGGAATATTGTCTTCATCCGAATCTGCCAGAAATCAAAGTTTTCACCATTGAAAACCGGTGCACGAAGATCAGCTCCACTCGATCCAGCCATGTGAGACGAGATCTAAGATCACTACACTTTCTTCTCCGCGTTTTCTTCAGTGAGAACTCAACGGTCAGTTCGAGCTCTTCACTGTGAGCTTCACAGATTCACGCCCAGTTGCAGAGGATGCAACCCGGCTCTGAGGCCATGTTAGATTACAGAGAAGAGTGATTATTATAGGATTTAGAAGAAATGTAACTTTCAGAAAGAGAATTCACAGAGAAGATGATTCAACTTCATTTCATCATTCAGATCTGATCAGAATGTGTCCAACCATTTTCAACAAATGTAGTGCACTGTTTTATCTCTCTCTCACACAAGAAAGAATACATCACAGCCATTCATTTCATCTATCCTATGAGATAGCTACATTTGTCACTCTATATTACTAACTGTCATTCAATCTAGAGCATTCATTGTTGGAATGTAATCCAATGGCTCTAATTAAAAAACAAGTAAAAGACATTGCTTTATTTCAGCTAAAACACTTAAACACTAACAATTGCTGACAATCTCCGATAGACCAACATCCCCCCAAACGGTAAAAACCTACCCGCACAACCTCAACACCACCCAGGCCACCACTCGAATCCCAACCGCTGCAGGAACACCACCGCTCCAAAACCGCCCCACCTTCGCCCTTCTAACCCTCCTATGGACACTACTTTCTCGTCGCAGAACTCAAATCGAGATGGCACAGCATCACGAAAGAGCGAGAGTAGAACCCAGACACTAGATAAAGAAAACAAGCATAGGTCAATCGGCGTGTTCGTGGACATGGTCATTGACAACCCATTGCAAGCCTCGAACTAATCATGACGTCGCGGACATAGCGGTTGGCAACCCCTGATGAGCCGGCATTGACGCCGCTGTGAGTGAGGACATGCAGACGAGGCAAGGCATTCTGATTGTTCCTTACCAGCCTTCCAACTCAAAATCACGAGGATCAATGCTAGCGCCTTACCACCAACGCTGGGTTGCGATTCTGATTGTTTTATATTTTTCATCTTAGGGATTTTATTTTATTTTAGGGAGACTTTGGATGCGGTCCCTAATTATGAATAATCTTTGACTGAAACTTTTTTGGTTTTCAATTTTTGATCCAAGTCCCTAAAATTAATTGATAATTTATTTCTATGTACGTTACTATATTTTTTAAATTAAAATTTAAAATTTATAGTTGTTTATAGTAATGAGATTTTAAATAAAAACATAATTGATGGGATTAAAAATATTAAAATATAAATATACTATTGTGTGTGTGTGTAAACATGGGTACATTCATAAAAAATAACCAAAAAGTTATTGTATCAAAACATGGGTACATTCTTCAAAATGGGTACATTTAGCAAAAATAAAAATGGGTACAAATAAATAAAAAAATATGGGTACAATACAAATAAAACTTTAAAAAATATGGGCACAAAAAGAAATTAATATATGGGTACAAATTAAAACTGAAAGGAAAATTGGTACAAATTAAAAAAGGGTTGCAAATTAAAAATGGGTACAAACTAAAAATAAAAATATATGATAAAAAATTTAGCCATAAATATAAATATACTAATTGTAATATTTTTAATATTAAATGAATATATTTAGAAATAAAAAATATTTTATTATTGAAATAATTAATGATATTATTAATACAAAGGACCTTGATCAAAAATTGAAAAGTAATAAGGTTTTAATCAATAGAGTAGTAAAAATAAGGATGAAAACCTAATTACTCCTAATAATAATAACAATACGAATTATTATTATCAGACAATCCATAAGAAAATTTATTTAAATAAAGAAGAATAAGAAAATTCCTAGAGCAAAGCTGCGTACAAAAGTTCATTCCAAGTATCAGGAGCACCAGGAAGACACCAGTGACTACAGTCATTATATTTGGGACCTTCACCTGCATAAATGGAGGGGTGCCCATCTTTTCTGAGCTGCGTGAGCAATGTGATGTCCAATAAATACACAGGCTTTTCCATGCCACTTAACACACTCTTTACAATAGCTTCTCCCGGATGACTTGGTCCTGGATAAGTTGGTCCTAGAATTGGTTGGGTCTGTCTTAGGCAACTTCCTGCTTTTGGATCCTTCCATTCCTTGCCACTAAAACATGATTGATTTCATGCCCACAAAATGGAATATACAATGTTAGTAAATCTGCACAATTTCTTGTTTGTATGGAAAATTCGTCCAGTGCAATTGTCAAAATACCAAGTGGTATTACCGTACTACTAATTTACGTGTTACAAAATTATTAAATTGATAACATCAAATATCGGTGTAACAATTGCTCTGAAAATGGAACTTACTCAGTATGAACAGCGGCTACTCCTTGAAAAAAGACTTTGGTAATTGAAATATCAATGCTGGAATCAACCCATTTTCTAGACAAAAACCCACCTAACCTTAAATATCTAACTAAAACCCAAAAATATTTCAACTCATGCCACTATATCCAAATCATATATTGGACACATTTTATTATTATAAGATATATGTGAAAATAATTTACCTATATTTTTACAATGCAGAGAGACTTTAGAAACTTACTCATTGGAACTGAAAAACCTAGCCATGACTATAATATCACACATGGAAAAAGCTTTGCAGACGGAAGCCAAGGAAGTGACCAACTTATTCGAAGATGGATTGCAAGCGATGAGGATGAACTATTACCCTCCGTGTCCTCAGCCGGAGACAGTCATCGGTCTGACCCCTCACTCTGATGCTATAGGCCTCACCGTCCTCCTACAAATCAACGAAATGGATGGCCTCCAAGTAAAGAAGGATGGGATTTGGGTTCCTGTGAAGCCACTACCAGATGCCTTTATTGTGAATATTGGAGACATTCTAGAGGTAATGATATACACTGGTAATTTTAACATTTTGAATATTATCTTGTTAGATACATAGATGAAAATGTTATCTGACTGTCAAATTTCATATAATTGATGATCTGATGAATGTTGATAATGAATCCTACATCTGAAAAAGAAGTTACCCTATATGTACTTGAAAGATATTAGGCTACTCTCTATATTACTAATTGGTTTTATGGTGAAACCCTAATTTTTTTTCATGGTACTAGAGCAAGTTGGCCCATGTGCGAAGCCCAACAGCCACACGTGCTCCACGTCACCCAGTTAGTGTTGTCCACGTGTTTGGCTTGAAAATTTGTCACACGTGAGGGGGCGTGTGAGGATGTGAAGGTAAAAGAGTTTCACATCGGTGAAAACTTTGTAAGGGTTTATAAGATGTTAAACTACTCTCCATGGTTCATGTTCTAATTTAATTTTACACCGTGACTTATAAAAATATGTGGAAAAAAATAAAAATTTTACTCCAACATTACCCGGTACCAATATTCACTCTGGTGAGGATAAAAATATCTGGTAAAAAAAAATATTTACTCAACATTACCCTGTACCAATATTCACTCTGGTGAGGATAAAGACTAGTGTTATTCATGTCATATTTATTAACATGTAAAACATTACCCTGTACCAATATTCACTCTGGTGAGGATAAAGACTAGTGTTATTCATGTCATATTTATTAACATGTAAATCTTTCTCATAGCTTAATCTTTAATAATTTATGAGTGCGTGAGTGCGTCTTCTATTTTGTGAGAGACATGTTGAACAATTATTTAATAAAACAAAAAAGCTTGATCCTTAATAATTTATACCTATTGCAGCTATTACTTTTCATTTTTAGTGTTTAAGTATGTGCATGTATGCATGGCAGATTATAACAAATGGGACGTATCGTAGCATTGAGCATCGTGCAACTGTGAACTCTGAAAAAGAAAGGCTCTCAGTCGCCACATTTTACTCCCCCAGATTTGGTGCTGAGATTGGCCCGGCCTCCAGCTTGATCACTGAGCAAACACCTGCAGCATACACAAGGGTGGCAATTGAAGAATATTTCAAAGCGTTTTTTGAACGTAAGCTTAATGGAAAGTCTTTTCTTGACGAAATGAAGATTAAGTATAATGTTAAGCAGTAGAGAGAGATCTCTGAAGAGAATAAAGGTGTATGTTGTAAACTTAATATGCCCAAATTAATAAGTGTGGACGCCATCTCTAGTTGTTATCGTACATTTTTGTATCACATTGATGTATCATCTTATATGGCAAGTGATGCATATATACAACATTCAACAAGACAAATGACGAGGATGAACAAGAGACAAGACAAGTGATGTACCATCTTATAGAATGGAGTTGTCGCGAATCTCGTGACTCATAGAACTGCGGAAGGGAGACGGGGTGGGCGGTGGCTGAACAGGAGACGTGCTGGCCAAATGACGAGGATGATGAAATGGACCTGTACAAGAATTTTGGGGTAGACAAAGAAGCCTCATAGTAAGATTCATTCTTAACATATTTTTTTACGTGTTGCGAATTTTTAAGTTAAATGCACGAACAACACAAATGAAGTAATGTAAAGCATGTGTGACCGTTATACTTTACATGTGGAATAACCTGCTCTAATATATAAAAATAGTGGAGGTTCCACACTAAATTCAAAAAGGAACTAGCTTGATTAGAGAAAGATATATATATAACCGAACATGAACATGATTGAGAGAGAGAGAGAGAGAGAGAGAGAGAGAGAGAGAGAGAGAGAGTACATCCAAAACATCCCTTGCTTACACCATATGCATTAGGCAAAGCTATGGAAGAAAGTTGAAACAAAGGTATCCGCAGGGAAGGGCTTTTACGGTGGCTCTCCTCCTGTGCCTAGTGTTCAAGAATTCAAAAAGAAGCCGATAATCACAATCCCACTTAGAAACCAACAAGTGCATGAGATCATCATCTCATCAAATACCATCCATTGACATGCAGAAATTGCTTTCCCACAAGAACCAACCAATTCTGAAGCTGAACTAGCCACACTCCATTGGCTTGCAAAGAGTGGGGTTTCTCCCAGGTAAGTAAATTACCTAGCCCTTTGACTTAAGATTCATTAACAGTTATTTATTTATTTATTTTTATTAACTTCATAAATGAGAAAATTACACTACAAATCAGGAATATATATATATATATATATTGCATGTATCTTGGTGTAGGACAATATAATTTTTTATGGCAAAAATTGTAGTGTATATGAAGAGATTTTTCAATGTGCCCGAAACATGAGACAGAACACCACATATCATTATATAATTGGAGGGACATTTGAAAAAAAAAAACTTTCCACCAATTGTATAATAACATGTGATGTTCTGCCCGTGTTCTAGGTACACTAGATAATCTCTCATAAATTAAAGAGTATGATTGGTATAGAATTTTTTTAAGGAGCTCCTAAAATAACTTTCTAGTCTTTTTAGCTACAATTTAACTAAAAAAAATGAAGAGCATAATTGAAGATGCTCTTGTATATTTAATTATGGTTGACCTGTTATATATGTAGCTAAATTTAGCAACCCAAATATTGTTCTATCAAACAAAACGAAAAGATATGCTGGATAACGAAGAAAGATGAAATGAAACACAAACCCTCAATTAAGGGATAATTGATCTTTGATCACTTGAGTTGCATGCTGCTAATTCACTGCTACTACAAAAGTACCCGGTAGTGTCATTTTAAAAAAGTGACAAGAAAAACCCATTTTTGTCGGATATTAGCAAAAATTCAATAGAAATTCATGTAATGGCGGATAAAAAAATCGACAACATTGCTTGCGTCACTAAAAGGCTTTTGCTGTCGATTAGTTCCCTTAAACCGCCAAGAAAAAGGAAAGCATTTAAAATTATAAAAAGATCAATGACGTCGGATACGGGTGACATTAATTGTTGAATTTCGTTGGATAAATAGATACTACTGTCGTCCATAACTGCCGCTAAATCAATTAATAATTAAAAAATTAAAAATAATTATGTTTGAATAAAATAAAAAATAAAGTTCAAAGAGAATAGCATTTACATAGATTTATGAAAACGCACCGGACATGATTCGAAACGATTCACAATTTAAAGGGATTGAATAATTAGCTATTGATTTCTTCAATCTTTGTTTTATTTAGAGATGTGATATCCACACACCTTTTTTACTTCTCTCACACCCTTTTAATTTTCGACAGTTGGATCGGATGAATTGAAGAAGATCAAAGACAGAAATTAACAAGGGGTGTGGGAGAAGTAAAAAATGATGTGTGGATAGCACATCCCTTTATTTACTCTTTCATTATCTAAAAGGCTTTGACCAACTTTCTCAATGGCCAAGTAGCTTTGCTGCTGTTTGGAGGTTTCCGGCTGGCCTTCATCTTTGCTCCTTTTATCACCATTGTAACTTACTAACTTTGTTAGTAATAGTCTAGCGACAAAAAAAATACTTAGAGACTTTTAGAGAAAGAGCGCTAAATGAAACTCCATGATTTCACCATTAGGATGAAGAAACTCCAGATTTTTTTTTTTTAGAGAAAGTGCATTGAAAGAAACCCCAGATTCCAGTAATCCAATAACATAATCAATATTCAAAACACAAACTCGATTTAATATAAATAATTTAAAACTCACCACTTTTAGGATGCTTAAGTTGCTCCTCAAATTGTTCATCCATGGACAGTCAATGAGAAGTGTAGTAGGGAAGGGGAAGAGAAATGCAGCGGGGATGGGGAAAGGGAAGTGGAGTGCAGCGGGGAAGGGGAAAGGGGAAGTGGAATGCAGTGGGGAAGGGGAAGGGGAAAGAGAAGGGGAGTGCAACAGGGAAAAGGAAGGGGAAGGGGAGTGCAGTAGCGCAAGAAGAGTGAAGGAGAAAGAGACGCGTGAGGGTTTTGAAATAGGTATTTTGATATTCTTGTCGAATAAAACCACCAGTAATGTCGGAAAAAACTTACACCAACTCTGAAAAACTAACAAACCTACTATAGTCAGTATCTGACACAAACTGCAATGATGTTGGTTAAACCGACACCACTCTTCATCAACTGACATCACTCTGCCCAATTCCTAATTCCGTCAGTTACAACCGACACCACCAATTCCTCATTGAAGTTTGAAAATTAAAACACATCATGTCGGATAAAAGTGCTAGAAATTATTTTTGTTGGAAACAATGCATTAGTAGATAAAAGTGTTTAGGGTTTGAATTGTGTTTTTTTTTTTGTTCTTCTCCTTCGAGAAGGCTAAATAGAAGATACAACTTGTCATACAAGTAATATTAAAAGAATTATAACCAAACTAGGAAACATAATTATATTCCTAATCTAATTTGGGCTCACGCCAACACTCCTCCTCAAATTGGTGCAGAGATATCACCTAGGCCCAACTTGTCGAGTGAGTCTTGAAACCTTCTTGCAGAAACTGTATGAGTTAGAATATCTGCCAACTGTTCTTCTGTCTTCATGAACGGAATGTCAACCAACTTAACATCCAACTTTTCTTTGATAAAATGTCTATCCACCTCAACATGTTTGGTCCTATCATGCTGCACCGGATTGTTAGCTATCTCCCGTGCTGCTTGATTATCACAATACAACATCATAGAACCTTTTGGTTTAAACCCTATCTCAATGAGTAGAATTTGAAGCCATAGAAACTCACAAATACCATGTGATAAAAACTTCTGAAGATATTACCCACATCGCTTTTATTTTTCGTAAGGTACAACCAAGTCATTCTGGTGCAGTCATTAACAAATGTTACAAACCAACGCACACCATGCTGAGTAGTAATCGAAGATGGCCCCCACACATCAGAATGAATTAGCTCAAAAGGAATTGTTCTTCTATTCAAACTCGGGGAATAAGAAGCTCGATGACTTTTGGCTAATGTGCAAACATTACACTTTAATGAAGAATCTGAAATATTACCAAATAATGATGGAAGTAATTATCGCAAATAACCGAAGACGACGATGCCACAACTGAATGGTCTTCAACTTCCCACTATCACGACCTTGAAATTGATGAACACGGCCCTGTGCAACATCATCAACATAGTACAACCCCCTTTTCTTAGTACCACGCCCAATGATCGCCCGAGTTCGGATATCCTGAAGTAAACAGAAAGATGGAAACATTTGCACAACATAGTCTAATTGCTCGGTGACCTGTCCCGCATATAACAAATGGCTAGAGAGTGTGGGAACAAGTAAGTAGTTGTGTAAGGAGAGAGTAGGAGTGAGTGCAATCGTACCCCCCTGTAACCGGGGCAACACCTCCATTAACTGTGACAATACTATCCCATGCTGGTGGTGGGGTTGTAGAGTTAAATAAAGTACGATCATAAGTCATATGATCAATGGCTCCAGTGTCAATGATCCAACCTGTATCAAGATCAACAAATGCAATTAAGGCTTTGCTCGTGTTACTTGGATCATCGGATTGCGTTCGGAAAGCAAATTCAAGAGTGATAGCGATAGGCCCGGGTTTATTTCCTGCTTGTTTTCCGCTGGTGGGCTAAGCAAGTCCTTACCCAATCTGATGCCGACATCATCATCTGTGCGTTGTCCAACCTGGTTGTGGGCTGCAGATGAACCTGCTTGCTGCCCAATTGAACTACGCGTGCCAGACTCGGCAAGCCCAGTTTCATTCACACAGGAGGTTAGCTCCACAAGCAAGGGTCCATCCTCAGCAACTTGGGCCTGCGCTGGGCGTTGGTGGGTGGATTCGTTTGAGGCAGGGATTGAACCCATGATACGAATCATGGTTTGATTGTCAGACATTGAAGGCAGCGGGTTTGTGTTTTCTGTTTTGGTTTTTTTTTTTTTTTTCCTTTTTTTTTTTCGGGGCTTAGATTGTTTGTTGAAGTCTCTTGTCTCGAGACTCTCAAGATGCAGTCAGTTGTTTTGGCTTTTTGTGTTGTTTGTTTTTCTGGGTTTGGGTTGTAAAAAAGGTCTCTTGTTTCGAGACCTCTGAGCTTGATTCTAATAGCTGTTACGCAGCCAACAAAGAGAAGCACCAAAGACGACGGTGAACAGGATTAAGGTTTAGGGAAGAGACAGGCCGAAACCTGCTCAAATGCCAACATAAAAGTGTTTAAGGTTTGAATTGTGTTTTTTTTTATTCTTCTCCTTGGAGGAGGCTAAATAGAAGATACAACTTGTCATACAAGTAATATTAAAAGAATTATAACCAAACTAGGAAACATAATTATATTCCTAATCTAATTTGGGCTCACGCCTACATTAGTGTCGGTTATATTCGACATTTTTAATTTATGTAGATTATAAGCAACAGTAATGCTTTATCATCCGACATCATGTAAAAAGGCTGTCAAAAATTTCTTATTTGACATTATTTTGTATAAAATCGCCACCAATCTCCGACACATTACACCAGTTTTGGAGTAGTGATTAAAGGGACAACTGCTTGATAGTAAAGCAACCAGATTGCAAAACATACAAATATTATGAAGAATTAAGGAAATAATATGAACATTATTGGAAATTTGGAGATACATGCTTTTGATAGTTGTTTTTGTGAGACTCCCTCCATAATGTGAGTTAGCAATCCACATTTTT